CTACTCCTAAAAAGCCCCCGACGGCTGAAGGGCTACCCCTGTTGTCAGTCTCTGAACACGCCTTCGCCCTCCGCACTGAGCCTCCTCAGCACCCTCCCGTGCCCACGTCCTCCCAATATGTGTCGGCATTTCTCTCTCCCTCAAGTCTTGTGGGCCGAGAAACAAAGTTGATTTATATTGGTAAACATCGACGTTATACGCTACCTGAATAAATAAACGCTGCTCGGAACGCAGTTTTAGATACATAGAGCGTCAAACACTATACCCTCTGGGTTAAAACGGCTATCCCAACCTTTTGTAGCCACGAAGTTAACCTGGAATTGTTACAGCTGCCGTCGGGGGGAATTACTCCTGAGTTACCTGGATAAGTTTAGTTACCTTGCGCTTTGTAGTACAGCCCTCTCGGACTTAAAATAATAAATAAATAAATAACACAGAATGTTTTATTATCTTATCCTTCTTACAAAAAAATGTTAGAGACGACTGCAATTTAGCTAAAGTGATTGAATGGTTTATGTCTTATGACCTTCACGCGATACAAGATGTGCTGATGTGATGCTTCTCTTTGGTGCAGCATTTTTTAAATAACAGGCACCGAAGTCCCCATTTAACATTCATATTGTTGATACCACTATACACACCACACACACACCACACACACACACAACACTCCCAGCCTCTGTACTGTATGTACATTAAGCTCATTCATGCAACGTACAGTAACACTTTTTAGCACCAAAATTATTTTAACCGTGTGTACTTGGATTGGCCTCACATATGTTTCAATTTGTGTGTGTGTGTATATGTGTGGGTGTGTGGTAGTAGTTGTCACCGTTGCCATGCTAGTTGTTTGTGATGTGCTTTGGAGATGGGACATTAAAACATTCACAGTCCCTTTGGCATGGGGGGGCTTACATGTCAAAGTCACACTGTGGTCTGTTCAGAGCCCTTTTTGGTGTTTTTATTTACATACGGTATGTCATCATTTAGCGTATAAACTGTCAAAATAATGAAGATCTTTTATGCCAAGTTAACAGAGTGATGCTGCAAAATCTAAGTGTCATAGTTCGGCTAATAAAATCCAATAAATGAAGTCAATTTTAATGATATGATGATAATATGAACCCGACAAAACAAAGTAAAACATGACATTGTAATAGCTGTAACCTACATATTAATGTCATTAATGGAGTGCAGGAGTCACATGTGGCCTGATGCCAAAATAAAGTAGGAGTTTTGCATGTTAACAGCTACAGAGTTATACTGGGTAAACAGACCTGGTGACTTCTCTGTACAAGATGAATGTGAATGTTGTAATATTGAAATCAACAGCTGCAGTTGGGAAGAACTCTTCCAAACTAACTCTTTTGAGCTCGTGTCTTCAGGTCTCTTGTGTGGAGCAGGGAGGGAGATTGTCAGCCATGGAGCGTGTGACGGGAGGAGGAGTGCTTCAGCTGGCTTTAGCGAGTGTTGGTGTCTTGCTGCTTTATCGGATCCTCGTCCGCCTCAGACCGGGAGCCGCTCTCCAGGATGCTGTAGTGGTCATCACAGGAGCCAGCTCTGGATTGGGGAAAGGTCAGCCCCCTGCTCATCTCGCCTTCTCTTCAGCTTACACGTAGATGCTTTCCCCAAAATCAGAAGTTACACCGATATGCAGACGTTCCTTCGTAGTAACGTGTTTCAGTGATTTACACCATGAACAAGAAGTGTGTTTTCTGTCTTGTAGAGTGTGCGCGGGTCTTCCACGCTGCAGGTGCACGGCTCGTTCTGTGTGGACGAGATGCAGGCCGCCTGCAGCAGGTGGTCCAGGAGCTTACAGCTACTTCAACAGGCTCGCAGCGGCAGGTGTGTTTGCTGCTGATGGTCTGAGAATCTTTACCCACCAGATTCCCTGCTCTGTGTCCCTCTATTGTATATTATTCTATATAAAATCAAATATTTGATCCACAACATTCAGATAACAAACATTATATATTCTGGATTGTGGACAGGGGGTCTTTGTATTAAAGTTTCCATGTTTTGGTTGAGCAAGAGTTCAGCAAAAGGAAGGTAATGTTTCTTATTCCAACAAATACATTTTCCATTTTGTCCATCTCAGTAGGAAAGTCTTTCCATTTCCTTTTTTTCAGTATTTTCAGAAGCTATCTGTCATTCCTGTCATTGCTCCTGGCAGAGGCATTTGGCAGGTTCACATCTTCTCAAGCCCGCTGTATCACTAATCATGACTCCTCCTTAGACATTCAAAAAGTTTTTCTTTCTGAGAACCTGCTGCTGTTTTCCACGAAACAGAGAAAAGTTTCCTTTACTTTTAAGCTCCTAGAATCAAAGCTGTTTGAATACAGGTGTAGACGGACGTATTTGAACTCATAACGGCAGCGAGGTATTAAATAACTGTTCTGCTCAACCACCAGACTTACACCCCCAGCACCGTTACCTTTGACCTGGCTGACACAGACACAGTGGACAGAGCTGCACAGGAGATCCTGAAATGTTATGGACAAGTGGATGTCCTCATTAATAATGCTGGAATCAGTTACCGTGGCAACATACTGGATACCCACCTCTCGGTTCAGCGGGATGTTATGGAAACAAATTACTTTGGAACCGTTGCTCTTACTCAAGGTTAGTGAACGTTTAATGGCTTTTGGCTTTAGATATGAGCAAAGTATGGGGTTAAAAAGTCACAACTGGAGATTTTGGAGACTCATTTTAAGATTTTTTGTTTTTTCCACAGCTCTTCTGCCCTCCATGGTTCGCCGGCGTGCTGGCCACATCGTTGTCATTAGCAGCGTCCAGGGAAAGATAGCCATTCCTTACAGATCAGCTTGTAAGTTGTTTTTGCTCATTTAATGAATTAAAGCGAATACCTGATCTGTGCAGTGATTGGAGATGAGGCAGGACTCTTTGTTTGTACACACTGTGGTCAGATGCTGCCTCTAAGCACGCCACCCAGGCCTACTTCGACTGCTTACGGGCCGAGATGGATCGCTACGGGATTCCAGTGACCGTGATCAGTCCCGGGTACATCCGAACCAACCTGTCGGTGAACGCCGTCACAGGAGACGGCTCCAAGTATGGAGGTGAGGCAGTGAAACAAGTGTGTTACTGTGTTTACGCCAACAATAGGAGAATTTCTATCAAATACTTTTTTATAGCAAAATTGTGAATGGAATCTGGCAAACAGTTTTTCACTGCACAACAACTGATGTGTGGAAACAAAAGCACAACAATGCAGTTTGACACATAGGACATTAAGAGGAGATATAAAAGAAACCTAAGGTGTTGTAAAGAGACATCTATTGGCAACTAAGAATTAAATCTAAGATAAAAATCAACTAAAATGGACTATAACAGAGTGAAAAAAGTTAAGACAAGGGAACACAATCTCAGTAATTTAACAGTTTTCTGTATCATTTGACCTACTGACTCCCAGGTATCATTGATGCAACATGTTTCTTGTTTGTTCCTTCCAGTTTTGGATAAAACCACAGCAATGGGTCGGGACCCTCAGGATGTGGCTCAGGCGGTACTGAAGGCTGTCCGTCAGAGGAGCAAAGATGTTGTTTTGGCAGGACCTCTGCCCAGTCTGGCCATCTACCTCCGCACACTGTGGCCGGCACTATTCTTCAAACTCATGTCCTCTCGCGCTCGCAAGGAGCAGAGACCTAAAGACGAGTGATGCAGCAGCAGGAGAGGACCAAGAGGCACATGAACCACAACACGAAACTGGCTGCTTCACATTGAGGCCCAATGGAGAAGCAGCAGATGTGAATAGATGCAGCTCTTCAGTAACACTTTGCCATATCAGGGTTGTAACCTGTGATTTGTAACATCTGTGGTTGACCAGGACAGCCAGGTTGTGGTGTTCAGCTATTGCAATTAATTAAAAGACGCTGTGAGCATGCAATGCTGTTTATTTTAACTCCTTGACATGGATTTGGTTTTACAAATGAAATGCTCTAACTGTTCTCTATTTTCAGGAGTAGCAATATGCTTGGAACAGTAATGTGTGTTTAATATCTTTTTACCACATTAAAATGATGTGAAATGTGTTCATTGTTTCCTGTTGGACATACAATGTCTCCTACTTACTGTAAGGTCCATTCTCAGTGTATGTGCACTGGTGACACTTACAAATAATGCTTATAAGCCCCGCCCCTTAAAATCAGATGTTCAGTGAGCTCAGAGAAACTTTCCACTGTCAGCAGATGAATGTGAAAACATCCTTCTAGTGTCGAACTCTGCACAGATATTATTCAAACATCACACTGTAGGAACAAGAACAACTGATTTTTAATGGTCTTTCCAGTCTGGCAAGTACTTTTAAATCATTTTCCTCCTGCTGTCACACTTAAAACCCCCCCTTCAGAGCCTGCATTATCACATTATGACTGAAAGGAGAACAGATTAGAGGAGGATATCATTTTATTCAGACTACAGCGCAGATCTGCAGCGCAGGAGAGACGGGTTCATAGGTGTGAAGAGGATGCTACGAGCGAAAAATAGTAAAATGGGATCACATTTATATTTGGCTAAGGCCCTTTTCCTTTACTTGTTAGGTTCTCATCTCAGACATCAAGATTGAAACTGTTCCTGTGTACAAACTGTGTGTCCAACCATTTTTTCAGCAGTTGCCAGGCCACCATTGTTGTTTAAGAAAGATACCTACTTCATGTTGTTTTGTTATTGGGGTTCTACTGGGCAGGTTTTTAGTTTATAGTTTTTTTGGTTTTGTATGGTCTCTCATTAAAACTTTTTCATACACAAATGTAAATATCAACACCACCTTCTGGTCTGAGTCGTACCACTGCTGTTTTACCACTTCTAAACCAAAAACAGGAATTCATTCAGACATTACCAAAGTTGTTTTGTATATTTATCCTGCTGAGATATTTATATTTATACATTTATAGAACTAATATTATGGGTCAATTGACATGCATTTTATGGAATATTAAAAGGGTCAACTCACCAGTTAAGAGTAAAAAACTACTTACATATTTAAAGAGACTGAGAATGTAGATATCGCCTTCATTCAGGAGAGACTCAGAGCATTTGAAACTGCGTAGGGACTGGGTGGGTTATATTTTCTGCTTTTCCTTTTCTTCAAAGGCAGGAGAAGTTGCCTTACTTATTAATACAAAATTTAATTTTAAATTAAATTCAGTTGAAAAAGAGAGATGGTAGATTTCTGCTTGTAGACTGCTTAATAAATAAGTGCAGGGTAACTGGTGAATATACTATATTATTTAATAATCTGATTTTGAAGCATGCTACGTTTGAGGATCAGTGGTGGAGACTTAAATTTGGATTAAACCCTCTAATAGATCGCTTATCACCCAAATCAGCCTCACTGTCAAAGGCAGCTACAGTAATAAACATATGAAAGACAGGTATAACTGAAGTAGGGCAAACCCTTCATCCAAAGCAAAGGGATTTCTGTTTTATTCAGGAACACATAAAACATAAATCCAGAACTGAGATGTTCCTAGTTTCACAGGAAAGATTTTTCTTATCTCACTGCTACCCAATCAGATCACAATGCCTTAAAACTCACCTGGATGATTAATACACCACAACCGTCATATCATAGGTGGAAGATTTAGATATTACATGCTAAAATACCCTGAATTTATATCATTCATGACCATTTATATATAAATATTTCTTGACGCCAACAAAATTCCTCCTCACATTTAGGAAGCCCTTAAGGCCTTTATGAGAGGCCATATTCTATCATACAGCGACCAAGGATGCTATATAATAATCTGTGCACAAACAAAGAGGAAGCAGCTAAGGTCAGGACAAACTATGAAGCTTGATAAATGAAGAAAGAGACATTCGATAAGTATATTCACTCAGTATTAACTGAGGATGGGAGGCACCAAGACAACCCAACAGCTAGAAATGCAGAATGTAATCAATTTTATGAAGATCTATATGAACATAGATATATCAGAGATGGAGGTACTCCAAGCCATTGATTCTTTATTGAACAATAAAGCACCCGGGCGGCTTCCCAATAGAGGATTTTAAAGCCTTCTTAAAGAAATTACTGACCTCACCCCCCTACACATATGATTAAAGAAAATAAAAAGCTTTTGAAAAACATAAAAATAAACAGATTAATTGAAGGTGGCAACAATCACACTGCTCCTGAAACCAGGCAAGGACAAACAGAAATGCGACTCGTTCGGGCCCCTTAGTCTCCTAAATTACAAGATATTAATCAAACTAATTGCTCACAGACTGGAAGATCTACCAAAGATAGGTCATTCTGATCAAACAGGGTTTGTTTAAAGTGTGTGGATCAGACTACTCCACATAGTAGATGCAGCTAAAAAAAATGGAAAATGGAAAGCCAATAATATCTATGGATGCTAACAACAAAAAAGAATTGAACCTAGTCACTAGTCACTGATCCACTGAAATGACGAACTAATGGTTTTAAATATTTTGGTATACGCAAGGAAAAAACAGATGGACAACTATTTTAAGAGAATTACATAAAACTATTTACGTACATTGAACAATCCAAATCGTTGGATTCCCCTGGAGAACAAGTGAGGTGTGATGGCTCTCAATAGAACAATATGATATGAAGAATACTCCTTTAAATGTAATTCCATTTATAGATAAAAAAAAAATTATCCACACTCACAAATAACTCAGCTCAACTAATAACACTTTTTATGCTTGGCAAGAATCTCACTCACTTTTAGATCTAAATGTCTCATTTCTCAGGAAGAATCCTTTATGGGTTTAACATCCTCTATGTATGGTATCATTATGATAAATCAATGGGAAACAGATTTAGGCTGTGCTTATAAAGGAATAGGAAAAAGGAATCTGTTGGAGCAGACACAGACTGTATTAATTTCCACAAAACTTTGGCAAACTCAATGCAACATATTGAACTCCCACCAGGTTACATACAATTGACAGCAACATTTCTCTGTGTCAGAGAGGTTAAATGACAGGATAAAAGGATCTCAAACTGAGCAGGATTCTAAACTATGGAAACTGGGGGACATGAGTTCTGATAATCTGAAGCATTTTATTTTACTCTCTAGCACTGCAGTGAAAAATTGAAAATCTGAAGATTCACCATCACTGAGGCACTGGATTAATGAGCATGTCTTACTGCACACCTGGAAAGATATTGTATAATGGAAGAAAGAAACCTGCAACCTCTCAGAAAATGTTCATCAGCATTCTCCTCTCTTTGGAAATAGTAGACCTCAAATGTGTATCTCTTCCTGGACCTTTTCATACAGTTTCTATTAGGTCTTCCTCATCGATGTACATTTATGTGAACATTTTACACGTATATATGCATAAGAGGTGTGTGTATATAGATGAAAGTGAATACAAGGGAAGTGTGTGGGATTGGGTTTTGTGTAATTTGATAGTTGATGCTGCACTTTTACTGCTTATATTGCAGACTATCTATCTGTGTGTGTGTGTGGGTCTATATAAAATATTTATTTTTTACTTTATTTCATTTTATTTTGTCTTCTTTCGTTATTATTATAGTAACTAGTGTTTGAGTTAGTTTTTTTTTTAAACATCACACTGTGCATCGGATGCCAGCAGAAACAAGTATATGCAAACAGAGAAAGTTCAGTTAGACTACAAACTACACTACTACACATACTACAATACATAATAACAATGGAAAAAAACACAATTTGTCTGTCTTTCTGGCAGATACAGCACCTGGCATGTTGTTTCTGGGTCATCTGTAACCATACTGCACACACCATACTGCACACACCACTGCAAATGATTCTCAGAACAAGGTTAATACATGTAGAGGAAGGAAGTACTGCTAATCTTTGTCCTGAAAAACACTTTTAGTGGACAGTTTGATTTCCTGTTCTGCAGTTTTCAACCAGAATATTTGTGTTGAGTTGTTGGTTTTGTTTTGAGGGGTGAGAATTTAGTTTCTTAAACGGCGACAGCAGGGAAACCACTCTACCTCTGGAAAAGCTGGCAAACCTGCTCGTAAAAGATTGCATTTGAACTGTTGTTACCACAAAGTGCACACAATGAATACAACAAGCTGTTTGGGTTTTTTTTAAACTATCTTTATACACAGAATAAAAACACCTTTTACAAACTGAAAACTTTTAACAGGTTTTTCATTTTTAGATGTCATCTTCATATTAAGTTAAACAAACACCTTTTCTGAAATGTTAACAATAAATAATCCAAATAACAATTTACAATATGTTACAAAAAGCGCAGTGAATACTGGAATTGACATTTGTACAAATAAATCCTTAAACAAAACAAAAAAACAAACATGCCAAATTCAAAGACAAAACCCGCTGTTTATTCCTTATTAAGAATCATCTCTGTAGTTTATCTAGTGTGAGAAGATGAAGTCTTTTTGAGATTTATTTCACAAATGAATAAACATCACAAGAGCTTTTACACTGTAGAGTCAAAGCCCCCCAAGGTGCTTTAAAGGAGACCAATGTTTATAAATCCCATTAGTGGAATGACAACAAGAGCTCTCCTACAATTTACACTCAGAGATGAAGTTAAACATGTTGATCAGACAAAATGTTCACAATACTGCATATTGATGATGCTGGTTAACTGAAATTCAGAGAGAACATCTGGATCAGTCTGGACTTTACATGGTACGTGTGTATATGCTGTGAAAAACAATACATTGCAATGGTGAAACTTCATGGGGAAAGTACTTAAAAGCATTTACCTTTAACTTCAACACATACAAAGTGGGCTGACATTAAAGGGACAATCATGTTGACATTAGCCATAGTGTTTTGTCAGTATCCCGTATCAGTACTAGCCAATGGGGAATTAATGTTTTGAGCACAACCAATAAGGAAGTTTTTACTAGTGATTAAATAATGACTTAACTTAAAAAGGAAAACAACTTAAGTGGTTGAGTGTCAACTATGGCTTTAGTGTTTGATTTTATAACATATCTCTGACTGCTTGCTTCTGAGGAGTTAAAATGGAGTGTAACACTACTGCGAACTTTTAGCATTTCAAATTTTAGCCTGCCGATGAAAATGAATATGTGGTTGGTCACATTATGGGATGAGGGCGCCTCTGTTTAGTCCTTGATTGAAAACAGCTCGGCTCGCTTCTTTGTTTGAAGTGCAACAGGCAAGCAAAACAGCTGGTAAATAAGCAATGTTATTTGTCAAAAGAGACAAGGTTATTTAAAACGAGACCAAAATTAAATGTTGGTGTATATAATTACAGTGTAAAAAAAAAAGAAAAAAAGAGAAACAGCAAGATAAATAAGTACGTGAAAGAAGAGCGTTGCTATTTCTTCTAGACCTGTTTATGCAACAACAAAGAAACTCGAAGGCTATTGCATCAACATACACTAAAAGTAATCAAAGTTGTAGAAGCGACTGGCAATGGACACTAAACTCCAATATGACTTCAGCTGCTGATCTGTAGAGCTGCTACAAAATGCAGTCGACCAAAAAAAAAAAAAAAAAA